CTTCCTTCCTTCCTTCCTTCCTTCCTTCCTTCCTTCCTTCCTTCCTCTCTCTCTCTCTTTCTTTCTCTACCTATGGAATAGTCAGTCTTTCTATGCAGTAGCAACCTAAATGTTATTTTCTTTTCTTTTTTTGTTTTTTTAAAGAGCAGGGTTTCACCATCTGCCCACGCTGGTCTTGAACTCCTGACCTCAGATGATCCACCTACCTCGGCCTCCCAAAGTGCTGGGATGTCAGGCGCGAGCCACCACGCCCAGCCCTAAATGTCATTCTCCGAAACGGTCAGAGGGAGATATATGTGCGTGGCCCGATGCACCTGCTTGGTGCAGAGAAGGGAAGGCATGGGGAGAGGGTGGGTACCTGGAAGTTCCCTTCGTGCTTCTCAAAGAGGCCAGGGAAGGTGCATTTCGGGTCTGGCACGCTGGGCATGAGACATTTCTTCAGTCTGAAACAGAGAAGGAGAGCGTGGTCACCTGCACTGCAGCCCCCAAGCAGCACTGGCAGGGACCCCAGGGAGAGGCCAAGGACACCTGTGGCTGCCCCTCAGAGACCAGTACCCAGGCAGAGGGGGCCTTCCACGAGAACACAACACATGTGACCCCTCCTCTTCCTCCTCTTCCTCCTCTTCCTCCTCCTCCTCCCCAGAGACCCCACCTCTGGGTCCTCAAATAGATCCTACCAGGCCTGGGCGAGGTGGCTCACACCTGTCACCCTAGCACTTTGGGAGGCCGAGGCAGGCAGATCACTCGAGCTCAGGAGTTCGAGACCAGCCTGACCAACATGGTGAAACCCCGTCTCTACTAAAATACAAAGTTAGCCGGGCATGGTGATGGGTGCCTGTAATCCCAGCGACTCGGGAGGCTGAGGCAGGAGGATCGCTTGAACCCGGGAGGCTGAGGTTGCAGTGAGTCGGGATTGAGCCACTGCACTCCAGCCTGGGCGACAGAGGGAGACTCTGTGCAAAGAAGAAAAAAGAAAGGAAGGAAGGAAGGAAGGGAGGGAGGGAGGAAGGGAAAAAGGGGCCAGGCGTGGTGGCTCACACCTGTAATCCCTGCACTTTGAGAATCTGAGGCAGGTGGATGACTTGAGGTTGGGAGTTCGAGACCAGCCTGCCCAACATGGTGAAACCCTGTCTCTAGCAAAAATATAAAATTAGCTGGGCGTGGTGGCCCATGCCTGTCATCCCAGCTACTCAGGAGGCTGAGGCAGGAGAATCACTTGAACCCGGGAGAGGGAGGTTGCAGTGAGCCGAGATGTCACCACTGCACTCCAGACTGGGGGACAGAGTGAGAGTCCGTCTCAAAGAAAAAAAACAAAAAGAATATTTCTCAATGACTGTTCCACGTCTCTCTGCACCTGTAGTATGGAGCTCCTCCCACATTTCTTGTTATGCACCATCAGAAAAGTGGGCATTGGTGGAAACTGAGGCTCAGGGACATGACCTTATCAGGTGATTGATCTTCCCATTCCACAGATGTTCTGGAAGCAGAACCTTCCGGCAATGCGTGTAAGGTGGTTGGCAGGAGTCGTCCTTACCTCCATAATCTCCATAAAGACAGGAGGAGAAGAGGCAGCATCAACAGGAGAGCCAGGCTGGAATTTAAAGTGAATTTGGGTGGCTTTGCTTGGGGAGGCTTTTGCGTCTCTGAGCATGAATCTAAAACACAACGAGAAAACTGCTGTAAGCTTTGAACATGATATGACGTCTCCATTACTTCTCATGCCTAACCACCATCCTCATTTTTTGGGGGGTTTGGTTTTTCAGGTGTGTGTTTTGTGTTTTGGGGGGTTTTTTTGAGACGGAGTTTTGCTCTTGTCGCCCAGGCTGGAGTGCAGTGGCACAATCTCGGCTCACTGCAACCTCCGCCTCCCGGGTTCAAGCGATTCTCCTGCCTCAGTTTCCCGAGCAGCTGGGATTACAGGTGTGTGCCACCACGCCCTGCTGATTTTTTTGTAGTTTTAGTAGAGAAGGGGTTTCGCCATGTGGGCCAGGTTGGTCTTGAACTCCTGACCTCAGGTGATCCGCCCCCCTTCAGCCTCCCAAAGTGCTGGGACAACAGGCGTGAGCCACTGGAACTGGCTTTTTTTTTTTTTTTGTAATATATCAGTGTCAACAAATGTTTTATTTTATTTATTTATTTATTTATTTATTTTTGAGACAGAATCTCAGCCCACTGCAACCTCCACCTCCCAGATTCAAGCGATTCTCCTGCCTCAGCCTCCCGAGTAGCTGGGATTACATGAGCCACCGTACCCGGCTAATTTTTGCATTTCCAGTCGTGATGGGTCTCTTTTATTTTATTTTTTTTAATGAATACTAGTGTGAGCACATTTTGATCGCTATGGAAGATATCCCGGAAAGACAGACCCTGACGATGGACATGTAAGGGCAGTTTCAACACGAGCCTGTTTTCCTTGGGGGCTTGGGGTGGCTGGGGGTGTTTATGGCATATGAGAGCTTGCTTTTGGCTATTGCTGGCTGTGTGCCTTAAATTATGCCCCTGAAAACATACGAGGTGGCTCACACCTGTCATCCCAGCACTTTGGTAGGCCGAGGCAGGTGGATCACCTGAGGTCAGGAGTTCGAGACCAGCCTGGCCAACATGGTGAAGCCCCATCTCTACTAAAAACACAAAAGTTAGCCGGGCGTGGTGGCGGATGTCTGTCATCCCAGCTACTCGGGAGGCTGAGGCGGGTGAATCGCTTGAACCTGGGAGGCGGAGGTTGCGGTGAGCCGAGATCACACCACTGCACTCCAGCCGGGGTGACAAGAGCAAAACTCATCTCAAAAAACAAAAACAAACCACAACAGCAACAACAAAAAATAGTACGGCCCCTGAAAACATACTTGTCCGTCAACCTACCTATCCTTTATCATATGACGTTATATCTATCTATTTATATCTCTGCATACATCCATTTCTATCCATCATGCAGCTGTTATGTACCTATGTCACCTGCCGTAGCTATGTCATGTATCTATGTCTTTATAAAGATATAGGTATCAATATAACAACATTGAGTTGGTTTTTTTTGTTTGTTTTTGTTTTTGTTTTTTTATGTGAGGGAGTCTTGCTCTGTCACCAGGCTGCAGTGCAGTGACGCAGCCTGGGCTCCCTGCAACCTCCACCTCCTGGGTTCAAGCAAATCTCCTGCCTCAGCCTCCCGAGTAGATGGGATTACAGGTACCCACCACCATGCCTGGCTCATTTTTGCCCACCTGGGTTTCCCCAAGTGCTGGGATTACAGGCATGAGCCCCTGCATGCAGCCTATATCTATATATCTTCATAGATATAAAGGGATATGAAGACACATAAGGCTGGCCACGGTGGCTCACACCTGTCATCCCAGCACTTGGGGAGGCCGAAGCAGACGGATCACAAGGTCAAGAGTTTGACACCAGCCTGGCCCACATAGTGAAACCCCATCTCTACTAAAAATGCAAAAATTAACCGGGCATGGTGGCAGGTGCCGGTAATCCCAGATACTCGGGAGGCTGAGGCAGGAGAATCACTGGAACCCGGGAGGCAGAGGTTGTGGTGAGCTATTTCACCATTGTACTCCAGCCTGGGCGGCAGAGCGAGACTCCATCTGGGAAGGGAAGGGAGGGGAGGGGAGGGGAGGGGAGGGGAGGGGAGGGGAGGGGAGGGAGAAAGAAAGAAAAAGAAAGAGAAAAAAAAAAGAAGGAAGGAAGAAAGAAGGGAAGGAAGGAAGGAAGGAAAGAAAAAGAAAGAAAGACAAAGAAGGAAGGAAGGAGAAAGAAAGAGAAAGAAGAAAAAGAAAGAAAGAAGAAACAAGGAAGGAAGAAGGGAAGGAAGGAAGAAGGGAAGGAAGGAAGGAAAGAAAAAGAAAGAAAGAGAGACAGAAAAAAAGAAAGAAAGAAAGAAAAAGAAAGAAGGATGGAAGGAAAGAAAAAAGAAAGAAAAGAAAGAGAAAGAAGGAAGGAAGGAAAGAAGAGAGAAAAAGACAAGAAAGAAATAACAAAGAAAGAAAGAAAAAGAAACAAAGAAAGGAGAAAGAAAGAGAAAGAAATAAAAAAGAAACAAGGAAGGAAGAAGGGAAGGAAGGAAGGAAAGAAAAAGAAAGAAAGAGAGAAAGAAAGGAAGAAAGAAAGAAAAGAAAGAGAGAGAAAGAAAAAGAGGAAAAAGAGGGAAGGAAGGAAAGAAAAAGAAAGAAAGGAAGGAAGGAAGGAAAGAAAGAAAAAGAAAGAAAGGAAGGAAGAAAGAAAGAAAAGAGAGAGAAAGAAAAAGAAAGAGAAAAAAGAAAGAAGGAAGGAAAGAAAAAAGAAAGAAGAAAGAAGAAAAGGAAGGAAGGAAGGAAGAAAAAGAAAGAAAGAAAGAAAGAAAAAGAAAGAAAGGAAAGAAAGAAAGAAAGAAAGAAAGAAAGAAAGAAAGAAAGAAAGAAGAGAAATAGAAGGAGG